AGACATTATATCCCCACAAAAGGCAGTGCAGAAGTGCCAAGAAACCTGGAGAGTTCATTTGCTTCCTATTGCCACTGTGTGGAAGCAGTGAATATGGTGAGCCACGTGTTGATAATTACTGGTAACACCAGCTTTTAATAGCAGTTGTTCCACTGTAGGAATGGGAGCAAGGATGTGGTTTCTAGCCTCTTCTACTGCTTTCTTCATCTTGTGGTGGCAGTTTGGATCAAATACTGCTTTGATCTTACTTGCAGGCACTTTTGAAAGTGCAAAAAATTTCCAGGAATTAAGTCAGGGGGCTCTTTGGCCCTTCAAGTATGTTGGTGGTAGTTAAGTTGCATCGTCTCATTTGCAGTTTGCATCAGATGCAAAGAAAAAAAGAAATCAGGATCTCTAGGATCCTGTTAAAGACAGTGTCAAATGTTCTGTTCTTCTGTCCTGGCCCTTGCCTCCCTGGTACTCCCACCAACGTGGAGGTGGCAGGGGGATAATCCAGTTGTCGTTTACTGGTTGCTGCCACAGTGGTTATAAAACCTGAGCACACCCTGCAGTCTGTTTCTGGAAACCATTCAGCAAGGTATCCTTTGCCTGACCTCTGAGTATTATTAGCTTGGATCATCTTTTATGCTGGGAGACAAATTATGTGTTTGCTTCAAATATGCACACAACAGAGGATCCATAAATGCTTGTTCATACTGTTCTTTACACTGAAAGTATGTTGAAACCTACTTCCAAAAGAAACCAATATACTCCAGGGAATCTTACTCCGCGTGGCTGGTGACGGTGTGTTGCACTCTTGTGATTAGTGATAAGCCACACAGTCTCTTTCTCCAGAAACTGCGCTCTGTAATACTACAAGTTTAGAAGTCCCCTGTCCCTGAAGGAGGTGCTCAGGAGCTGTCATGGGGGACTCTGGCTGTCCACATCACACTTGCTTTGCCCTGGAGATGGGTTCAGTCACAGGATTCTCCCACTGCCCTGCTCCCTACCATATGATTAACGTGGTGGGAACCCCTGTGGCACTAGAGGTGCATATCTGAACCCTACACAAGTGCTTGCTGCTTCAGGAAGGTGTTGAGTTGTTTTTGACTGACCAACAAATTTCTAGCACAGTTACAGTGCCTGAGCAGATTCAGTTGCATGGCAGAAATACATTGTAAGCCTGTCCTGACACGATCATACCTTATAGACACTGTGATGGTTCTACTCCACTGGCATGTGAAGGGACATTGCCAGCACATCTTAGCAACCTAACCAGCTGCATTTCAGGTGTATAAAGAGCCACTTGATGGAAAGGATGGGTACTCCACAGTATCGTAGAGCATAACTGAGAGTTCCAGGGATACATTAATATAAATACCTAATAGGAAAGAGCACTCCCCCTCTGCCCTCATGATCACTGCTGGAGCATAGGCCATGAAGCAGAAGGCAGGTGAGATTTATGAGCCTTTCTTTAGGATGCATGACATGCTGTTCAGATTCATTGAAACAAACTGCAGGCAATCTGATCCTTACTGGTGCAGAGGGCTTGGCTCACGCAGTGGAAGTGACAGACCTTAAGTCTGGATTTCCAGACTTCCAGCAACTGAGCTTTCTTTTTCCTTTTTTTCTTTTTTTTTTAGGCAGTTGCTGGCTCTAAGGGAGGAGACAAGACATCACTTGTGTGTGGCCAAGCAATAGGCATACAGCCAAGCGTCCTTATGTGAACAAAAATACATGGTCTTCCTAGATCTTTATTATAGTAACCTTGGCTGGGTATTTTTGCCACTGTTAAATCCCCCAGCTAAATTCTTACATCTCACTAGAGCTGACTGAACAACTTCTAAAAATCCTAAAGAATTGATGTGATCACTGCTGAGGAAAGGGGTAGAATGTGCTAGGTCATTTGAAGGATAGGTGTGGAATTAAAAGAAGGGCAAGTATCTCTTTGAGAATTGCACAGTCAAGCTAGACAAAATACAGTATTTGCCACTCTGTGAATCATGTTCTATGAGCTCTCACACCTGCTTTGTGAGTGCTCCCTCACTTCCAATGCACATAGCATCTGTGCTCAGACTTGTCCAAACCTGTGCTATGGAGGGGTCATACATAGTAGAGACTTGTGTCTTGGTTTGAGTAACAAAAAATCAACAAAAATAACAAAAAATAGCTAGTGCTAGTACAGTGATCAGCTCAGCTTCTCTCTTCGTTGATGGCTTCATCCTCTGCCCAGTCAAAGATCCTTTTCCTTTGAGGTCAAATGCAAACATCACTATAGGAGCAGGATAACCAGAGAGTCTGTATACTCCAGAACACCTTTTCCAGATGTACCGATACACGTTCACAGCGAAGGTAACTATTAGAGTGCATCTATGGAGTTTCTCCCTACTCCATACTTATCAGCAGCTCTGCTTATTACAATGTAACTGGTGCTAAGTAAAAGAGTTGCACTTGTCATTCTGCATTTATTCAGTCTATTTAAGGTTAGACTGCCCCAGAAGGCCCATTGCTACCTCTGTGGTGCTAGCTAACTGTTGGAATGATTACAGACAATTGCTGGAGGAGCAGCAGATAATGTGTCTGCAGTCTGCTCTCATTCAGCCATATCATTGCCACAGGGAAGAGAATTAGATGAGGATTACCATGTCCATTCAGGTACCACCAACTCTGGGACTATTTCTCCTCTTATTCTCCACACCCACACTTTTATGAGCATCTTCTATTGCACTTAAGTTTATTGTTTGCAGAAAGTTTATTTAGCAGTGCTTTTAATGAACTAAAGAAAAAATCAATTAGCAGAATAAAGAAATACAAGGTTTTGAATTATTTATGACTCCTATATTGCTATATTGTTACAGATTATATATGCAGATTTATATAATTTTGAATTATATTCTATATAACTACAATGGTTAATTTTATAGAAAATCTTAGCCCGGTTGGTATAGTTTAAGGTAATGCACTTGTCATGGTGTCATCTTATTGGTGACTTTATTGTCTTAATGAAGCAGTTTATTTTTCTGTTCTCAAATGTCTAGTTGGAAGGTTTCTCCAATAGTGGCAGTTTACCAACATCAAAAGCAATCTACATAATCTCTTGGAAAGTGCCAAAACATGTCCAGGTGATTTTCACAGGGTGCACGGCAGCTTGCACTAAGATAAAAGACTTATTGTGCAGTGATGGTAATTTTTTTTTATTCCTGAAAAGTTTGTTCTGTGGGTAAGACCTTGCTCTGCATTACAATTACTCTCTCTATTGTCCTCTTACAAAATTTACCAAAACCTGTTATGCCTCAGAAGTCATCATCTGCCACCTATCCCTGCATCCTTGTTGATTTCTTCCAGGCACCTCGCAGTGGGATTAGTGAAGACAGAGCCACCCAGGGCACCTTCACCTGGTGACCAGTTCCTGGGAACAGTTCAAGTCTTCAGGAGCTAGGATTGCTAGGAGACCACAAGAGCAAAGACATATAAAGTGGATGAAAGGATGTGAATTCATTGGCGTAAAATATCAGGAAAGGCGTAGTGCCCAGGAGCTCTATGACAATGTAGAACAGTCCCTGAGTGCTGCTGGAGTGGCTGGAGACGGGCAGATTGGAGTGGGTGGCACAGACATGTCTGTGCCCATCGCATATGCAAATGAGACCCATAACATTTTGGGACTTCTCTTTAAACACAAGGCAGTGCTGCTGGACTACTATAAACGAAGCCCATACATCAGTTCAGCAATATTGAAGGTTTTGCTACTCTACTCTATGAGCCTTTAATAATGCCATTCACAATGATTATTGCTCTTATATATGGAAGCGTTCTTCCCAAATTATAATGTGTTCTTGCATTAACATAATGCAATCATTTACCAGAGAGACAGAAAAGGAGGGAGTGACTTAATTTTACGTCTGATGGGGCAAACAATTTCACACTGCAGAAAGGTGGTGTGAGTAAGAAGAGAGACTGGCTAAACTATTAATAAGCCCCCTGAGCTGCTGCTGTGTCTGCCTTGCTCTTGCGTTCACTTGTGCTGAGGCCCCTTTGCTGTTGTGGCCATGCTGCCCACACTGAAAACCTGTAGCCAGGAATAACAAACAAGAGAAGACAGCGGTGAGGAGCAGTGGTGCTGCCCAGCCCTCTGCCCGGCCGCGCTCAATGCACTGGCCAGCTCGTGAGAGCTCCTCCCTCTGCAGGAGGGAAGCGCTGGTGCCACAAAAGAAAGGCTGCAGGCTGCACGTGCACGGGAGGCACAGCCCTGTCTGCAGCTTGGAGTGAATACACATACCTAGGGAGTTCTCTCCCCTCTCCCTTTCCTTCCTCCCTCCTCCTTCCTTTCTCCTTCCTCCTTCCTTTATCCTCTCCTCTCCTTTTCCCTTTTCCTCTTCCTTTTTCCCTTTCACTTCCAAAAGAAATGTGAGTCTGCTTAGTGGCCTTGGGAGTCTCTTGTCTTTATTGCCTTCCCACTTACCTTAACCCATCTTTGCCCAGCACTGACTTTGAAGCTCTGTTATTTGTTCACATCTGGGATCCCCATGTGGGAGATTAGATGAGGCCGAGCTGTGAAAGCAAATTAATAATATCTCAAAGGAAATGAGAACTAAAGAAATCATATTGTTTGTAACCAATTGCTACAGTATCTAACTTTCATTTCTAATGAGCACTGAGACTTTAGTTTGATTTTATTACATCCGTTTTGAGGGGCTGACTAGGGAGGAACAAAGCAGTTCTTTGGGCTTTTTGCTCCAGACTAAGCTGGAATATTAACCCTTTGGAGAAGCTTGAACAAGTTCAGTTAAGTTCCCACTGCCACTGCTCCCTTCAGATCCTTCTACCTGCCTGAATGGTTGCTGTTGAACCTGGTAGCAAACAAACAAAGCTTTAGAAATCTTGCTATCTATGCCTAACAGTTCTGCAGGGATTCCCTGCCCCCTGACTGGTTATCTCTGGGCAATCGTGGGTTTCTTATGTCTGAGCAATAGCAAGTGTCTGGGAATAACACCAGTGAATCAGACTGTTCTTTCCCTCTGCAGTGCCTACACGGAGCCCTACAAGGTGTGCCCAGTCTCTGTCATACCGATGGAGGTTGTCACATCAGATGAGGAACAGAAGAGTTCAGAAGATGAGGAGAGCAGCCCTGGTGATCCCAGCCTCATCAACAAGGTAAAAGAGCAGAAAACGGGGAATACATGAAACCTGGAGAGGGAGAAACAATTTGCAGAAGGACCTGGATTCTCAGGTGTCTCTGCTGTTTGCCTGGTGCTTATTTAGAAATGCCAGAGCCATCATACCTTTACTCCGCAGTGCTCTAGCAGCAATTTACCCCTACAGCATGTGGCAAAGCCAAAGAACAGCCGTCCTGAGATGGACAGTAGTGGCAACGTAGCTAGCAGGAAAGACCTGACTTGAATGTCAGGAAAAGGTCTCACACAGAGTTAGCTGCAATCTATCTATCTGGAGAATTTTAGAACTACACTGAATGAAATAATAACAAATACGCTACTGGGACCAATTCTGCATTGGCTGGAAAATGGAATAAATTGTGTAACAGGTCTCAGCCATCTCAAAATTCTCTCATCATGGGAATATGCACTCATGTTTGAGTTTATTTTACTGCCTTCTGATGAATAAAACACCTCTTAAACAAATTATGGAGAAAACCACAGAAATGTGACAACAGCCTAAGACCATACAGGGCTGTTCTAACCTCCGGTAAGCAGACTAACAGTTCAGTTGTTAAAGAAATGGCATCAAGTAGTTTTAGGCACAAGTTTATCTTTGTTTTTCAGAGATTTTGTGTGCGTGTTCTTAAAACCTTGTATGAGCCTAACAATCTGTGTCTCTGAGTACAAGCACCCAGAGCATAGCCCATTCGGTATGCATGATACAGATGGGTATGTTCTTCTGAAGTCTTCCAATTTGATCCCCAGGAATGAAGGCTGCATAAGAAAACAGCAAATGCTGATTTCCTACACCTTTCTCTGGCATTCATTTTGGCCTGGTCTCTCAGTGTCAGCACAGCACAGCTGTAGCTTCCTGATTGTAGACGGCTTGTGTCTGGTCACAGGCATGTGTCAGAGCCTTCAAAAGTCTGTGCAGATGGCGCTCCAAGACCAAACAATGGCTACATAAGAGTCAACTGTGTCAAGGAGAAGTGTAAGTATATTGCTTCTAGACAGATTGGATCTCTTCAGCATTTCTAGAATGCGAAGTGTTACTTAGGGGCAAGTGTAGAGAGAGTGGAGTAGAAGTTTCTCCTCACCAGGACACCAGTTCTTGAGAACACAAAAAGAAACTGCAAGTGGAATGACAGTGAAGGGCAAATGAAATTGCTGTTCTCTAATCTCCGAGGGAGAATAGCTTCCTTTGATTTCCCTGTGTGTCATGTCACTTTTAGGTCTACCTTGCAAGGTGCTGAGCTGCCTCTGGTACCAGTGGAAAAGGCTGTGGTTTGATGTCCTTGCTGACATGAAACAAATGGAGCAATTCCAAGCATTCCTTATCTTTTTTTCCTCTAAGATTCATAATTGGTTTTGGTTGTTTGTTTTCACACTGTTTTTGAAAGGGGAAAGTCTTTAAATTTCTGATATTCCCTGTTAAAAATATTTTTTATTTCAATTCTATTAGCTGACAAACCATTAGTATTTATAGAGCATACACCTGTGTGTTATCCAAGCTGGTCAGGTTTCTTAGCATTTCTTAGTTGTGATGCCAGTGGAAAAATGACAACAAAATTGTGACTTGAGTTCAGAAGGGAAATATGTGCAATCACTATGCACTTGGAAGCAAATTCAAGGCTACTAAAACCAATTTTAGTGCCTTTTTTGTAGGGTTTTACTCATGCCACTAGGAAATGATGGTTTTCTAAATGTCTCCCTTATTGCATCTCACACGTTTTAATTGTTCTGTTGTGCTGGGGTAACCATGCAGTGCACTTGGAGAACAAGGATGTGCTTCAGAGTCTAGCTGGAGGTATCCCTCCCACTCCTCAGGCAAACACAAACTAAATGTCTGTACATGCCTGATAGAGATCATCAGACAGGTCTGGTTGGTTGGTTGGCTTTTGCATCCCAAGATAATTGTCAGCAAGGATCACAGTACACAGGACCAGACTTCCACAAGCTCCTGGGGAGCTGTCTTAAAACATCTACATCTGAGTGCAGGCTGTATTTCCAAGCTGGCTGATGAATTAGTGCATGTGACCATTCACCCTTCTGAGATGCAGGCCAGGAAAGTAAACGTAATCTCATCTGCCTGTTATACATGCTGCCTGTAGGAAGATGAGCCATTCTGCAATCTACTGGGCTCTAGCTACAGACTCTAAAAAGATGTTGGAGGAGCAATAATTTCATCCCTGGATGACAGGCTGAGAGAGCTGGGCTGGTTCAGCCTGGAGAAGAGAAGGCTCCTCAAGAGGAGACCTTAGAGCAGCTCCAGTGCCTAAAGGGGCTACAAGAAGCCTGGAGAGGGGCTTTGGACAAGGGCCTGTAGGGGCAGGCCAAGGGGAATGGCTTGAACCTGCCAGAGGGGAGATTGAGATGAGCTCTGAGGCAGAAGCTCTTCCCTGTGAGGGTGCTGAGGCGCTGGCACAGGGTGCCCAGAGAAGCTGTGGCTGCCCCATCCCTGGCAGTGTTCAAGGCCAGGTTGGACACAGGGGCTTGGAGAACCTGCTCTAGTAGTGGAAGGTGTCCCTGCCCATGGCAGGGGCTCGAACTGGATGAGCTCTAAGGTCCCTTCCAACACAAACCAGTCTGGGGTTCTACGATTCTATGGATAAGTCATTTGCTTAGTAAGCCAAGACAGGGGTCTGTGCTTGTATGTAGAACCAAGAAGAGATCTAGAGATGAGAAGTGGCACTGAGACACCTTTGTGCATCTTTGTTCTTGTAGCTTCACTAGGGCAAGCATCGCTTTGGACAGACTAAAGGGGAAAACATTCAGTGCAGGGTTCTGACATCAAGGATGCCAGCCACAGGACTGTGATACAGGAATCTCCCAAGGTGCCATGCAGCCCACAATGGTTTTCCTGCCCTACTGCTCCTGCCTTCTTTTATTGACTTCTCATGCAAATCTTCTGTGTTCCAAGGGAACATTAGCTGCCCTGTCAAAACCTGTCTCTAAAATTACAAAGCACAAATAACTTGTCCAGCTTCCTGATGAAGTGATGTATCCCTTGCAGCAAAATCCTCAGGACAACACAGAGTGGCCATACTACATGGAAGAGTTCGGAAGCACTGTCACTTGGGGAGAATTGAGAGACATGTTGGTCTGGATGCCAGAAATAGGACCATGGATTTTTAAATGAGCTAATCTTGTTAAAACAGCTGTTGGAGGCTGGCCTACTAAGAGCTGAATTTGGATTTTAAAAATAGACAAACGTGCACCAAAAAACCCCAGAACCTTCTGGGGTTTGTGGGTTTGATTTCTAGTTTTCTTCTCTTCAGGGAAACTTAGTTTAAATAATGGCATGAAAAAGCCTAGATGATAAAATCTCCTCCCTCTGTTCAGATATATGGTTTTCATTTGCATTGAGCTGGATTCTACCTGCTGCCTTTCGCTGTCATCAATGAATCCCATGCATTCCATGAACTTCAGCACGCTTTGGTTCTTCTCAGCTGCTTTCTCCTAGTCTGCTTGCTGTAGAATCGCAAGGCTTGCAGTTTGCAGCAGAAATCCTCTGATGTTTCTTTTTAAAGTCCATTTTAAAAAGTAAATATAATTTAAAAAATAGCTTTGTACACACATTTCCTGGTATTGTTTCAACAGCTCATCTCCTTTGAATCCCTGCCCCTGTGGGGACCAGATTCAGACGAGTGTGGAGAGATTGTCAGGGCCTGCTGGAACCCCTGTTCTATGAACAATTAGAATCACAGCCAGAAATATATGTTGAGGTATTTTTTACATTATAGGCTTTATTTTAAAGAGCAGACAAAGAGGGGCTTTCATCTCTACTGTGTTACAGGAATTTTTATTACTAAACACCTATTTGGAATGGGGCAGGTATAAAAATGTAAAACAGGAGGTGGGTTTTGAGTTTTTTGCCCTTATTCCGCTGGGAGTGCCTCAGCCCTGGAGGAGCTGGGCATTTGTCATCAAAAGTCACCTGGTGCTTTTGATTCTCCTGTATAAGACTAACAGGGAAAACTCACTCTTTCTGGTTAAATAAGCACTTTATTATCTTCTCTTCAGTCTGCTGGCGTATTACAACAACCCAGAGAACTCAGAGGCGGGGAACGCTGTAGGTGTTCTTAACTTCTGTGATTGTACTCGGTTATACTATAAAAAGCAATGCCCCTCATTCACACTATTGATGGAGATTCACTCTTTTTTTTCCTCCTGCTAAGCTAATTTAGAAGAGCTCCTGGGCCATCTCTCATTCATGTATCTTTTACATATGTTCATTTAATTAAATCCCTCCCAGTTGATCAGAAGGTGACCCATGGCTTTTCTGTACTGGGCTCTCAAGGTTATGTGATGGCATCTGAGCTGCCTGCAGAGAGGAAGACAAAAATACATAAAAAAAAAAAGGGGGAATTAGGGATTCCAGTTAGAAAAAAAACCCTTGTATCAAATAAACCAAGGACTTTATCTCCAAGCTCTCAGCTGTCACTCACTAGACAGATGCTCAAAGTCCAGGACGTAGAGCCCCAGATTTCTCCTTTCATCTTTGAGCTGGATTCAAACCTGAATTTTGTGATTGTCTTTTACTGCTAAAGCAGATAAATCCACCTTGGACCCACCCAGCTAACAAGCATTAAAGGAATTAAAGGGGAAA